GTTGTTGATAGTTTCATGTGTCTTCTCTTGTTATTCCTTTTTTATTATAACAAAGGTGTCATCTACATACTGGATCCATAATTTAGGTTGTATGTGTGGAAGTGCTATAGCTTCTAGGCATTGCATTACAATCTCTGCTATGAGTCCCGACAGTGATGATCCCATGGGTGTGCCTCTGATTTGTTGGTATACACATATTCACCTCCATTGGTCCATTGGTCTTCCTGAATTACCACATTTTCCCTAGAATGGAAAAAATGCAAATGTGCATGGGAAATCTATTTCAACTCAGAGGAGCAGGCCCGATGAACAAGAACCATAATCCAGAAACTAAAATATTCAGAAGATATTCTTCACCATTGGAACTCAGAAACAGTTTTTATATTATGAGTTATTTTGCAAGGTTGGATTATGTCCAAATGTCACATAGAATCAGCACTAAGAATTTGCTTCAACCCAAACATCAGATAAGCCAGGTCAAAGGCCATATAAATTCCAAGATCCTGCAATAACAGCCCAAGAGAAACAGACACATTGATCAGGGGCACCATTCCCGTAAAGCTGAGATTCCTCAGTCACTCTTTAAATAGTGCTGAACCCCATTCTCATTCCAGAAAGTTCAGAAAATACACTAGTGCTTCTGTCTTTCTAAAAGTGGCAAAGACCTATTTTGTTCCACTTTTCTCAATTGCTACCTTGTTACTGGACTTGATGCTTGGCCATGATTTTCCAACATCTCATAACTATCAGATTAATTATACTCCTGTGTTGCATGCTTCTTATTAACAAAAAAGTCTGCCTTTTCTAACTGACAGCCAGGGAACAGTATATTAGGTTCACACCTTATCCCAATGAATCCATGACAGTGAATCAGGGATGTGATACAACTGCTGATCACTGAAGGGGTCCCCTTCCTGTTTATCCACGTAGTAGAGGAGCTATAACCAAATCATCTCAGGCTTTGGAGTTCAAGGAAGGAAACTAAAGAACCCAAGGGTTCAATGGTATTCTTATCCATCCTTTTAAGGAGAAAAAAGAATGTTGCAGGTGAATTACAGGCCATAGAAATGTTTTTTTTAGGAGAAATGTGGTTTATCAGACCATGCTGTGTGTTGGATGATGGATTGCTGGCTGGAGTTAAACCTGATGATGGATTGCTGGCATGAGATGAATTGTCCCTCACAAAGTTTAGGAAACATGTGCTTGACCACAAGTTGAACTTGATTAGGAGGGCTTTAAACTGAAATTAAAAACTGAGAAGGAAGAGCTTTTAATAAGAACTTGTGAACTACGGGAGTGAGAGTGTAATTATACACTCTCACTCCCTTGTTATTGTACACTTTTAATTCACTAATCTTCAGAGTATGGGAAATAAACAAGATAAATGTAAACTCTAATTACACAAAGGTAAATATGGTTTGATAGGTGTAATTGAGATCTGAAGAATAGCTTTCAGAACAGGAATTTAGCAGCTGAAGGATGCAATTTATTCAAAAGAAAAGAAGCTATAGAAAGAAAGGAGTGGTTTTATATATTCAGAATACCCATATCTGCACAGAAATGCAAGGTAATTAACTTAGGGGTGCTACTGAGTGTATCTCAGTTCAAATAAGTGGAAGAATCAATAAAAGCAGCACTTGAACTAGTGTCTTTAATCATCCATCCACTTCTAAAAACAAACTGCAATCTTGCAAAGAAGCATGAAGTAGCAGCGCTAAAAATGTTCTTCAAAGGGTGGAAGAAGGCATAGGAAAATCAGTTGTCCTTTATGAAAGTTTTAACCAAGGAAATGAGTATTTCCTTGGTTAAATACTGAGGAATACTGAGTATTCTTTAAGTACCGAAGGGGGTGTCACCAAGAAGAAAGTCAAGTCCTGTTCTCTATCACAAAGTGTAGGACATGGAATAAAAGTCTTAAGTTAAGAGAAGATAAAGGCCAGTTGAATGTTAGAAGAATCTTTCTGTTAGTAACAGCAGTTCAAAAGTGGAGAGCCAACAGGAGGACAGTTCACCTTTCCTGGATATGCTCAAGGAGTGGCTCACCAGCAATCTCTTAGGATGCATTAATCTGAATTCCTACACTGAGCAGGGGATTGGATCCAATAGCCTAAATGGCTTGTTCCAATTCAGTGGTTCTGATTTTCCAAGAAAAGATTTGAAAACAGGCATTTGTTTGAATTTTTTTTTCTAGGTCGAGGAAAGCCAGGTGTAAAGAAGAAGTCATTCCACAACCTAGAAAAAGCTTTTGACCGTGTTCTGCATCAGCTGATATGGTACGCGCTACATGACCATGGTGTGCCTGAGCTACTCATAAAATGCTTTACATTAATACCAGCAGCTGAGTGAAATGTGCTGCTGGCTTCTCCAACAGCTTTCCTGTGAAAGTTGGTGTCCACCAAGGCTTGGCACTATTGCCATTGCTGTTCATTCTTGTCATGGATACGAACAAGTGAGACCTGCATCACAGTGTCCCCTGGGCCTTGCTCTAGACCAAAGATCTCCTACGGGCAGCTACCTTTGCACCTTAATATCAAGAAGAATAGTATCTGAAGACTAGCTCGACCACCTCCACCATTCAGGTCAGTGGTGAAGACCTAGTGAAGACAAACTCCTTCTGTTGCTTCCCATCTGCAAAGTGACAGCGGCATTAATGGGGAAGTGTGCATGAGGATGAATGCAACATGGCTGTGGTAGAAGGAGATCACTGGAGTGCTCTGCAATAGGCATATACCAATTCACCTAAAATCAAAAGTATATAAAATGATGGTCCAGCCAGTAGCACTGTATGGCCTTGAGTGCTGGCCAACCACCAAAAGTGCTCAGCACCCTTTACATGCCATGGAAATGTGTGTGCTCTGCTGGTCATTAGGCATTTCCCTTCTTGACCACGTTAGCAATGATACAGTCCAGCAGCAGATGGGTGTTCCACCGATAACAGAGAAAATGCAGGAAAACCGCCTACAGTGGTATGGCCACGTTCTACGAGCAGCACCCCACACTTATCTACCTACCACTTTAGTGTTAATGGCAGATGCCCACATGGAAGGCCAAAGCAAAGGTGGAAGGACACAATTAATGTGAACATGAAAATCTCCCAGTTGGACCTGGTTGCTGCATTTGATCACATCGGGAAATGTCATTCGTTGATCTGAAAAGTGGACCCTGCACCTGCAAGAAAAACGCTAGGATGGTGATGATGATTTGTTCAACATGTTCTGCAGTGAAAGGCAACACAGAGCATTCACTATGAAAAATAGAGGGCAAAATAAGCTTCATTATAAAATATAACTTGTCTACATAATTCTCAACCAATCATTTATTCACGTTATTATACATTCACATAAATTAATGTGAATAAATGATTAGTTGAGAATTATGTAGACAAGTTATATTTTATAATAAAATGTATTTTGCCCTCTCCATTTCTCCTTCTAATGTCCATGGAGAGCCTAATGTATTTGTGATTTCATTCTGTCTTCATATTCACTCATACTGTCAAAGACACTTAAAAAAAAAAATCCTGTTGGCAGCAAAACAAAGCAGAAGAGTCCCCACCCCACCCCACCCCGTCTTCACCCCACATACACATACATTATTGGTATTGAGAAAGGGAAAAGCAAATCAATAGACAACATAATGAAATTCTAATAAGTTACTAAAAGGATAGTCCTAAGGGTATAGACAAAAAAGTCTGTTTTTGACTTTTTTTTTTTAACCATCTGTTTTTCAGAGCTTTGATCACACCGTCATGGCCACCATCTTGACATTTTTTACCATATCGTGTGGATACCCCTGGCTACGAGCATGGTGAAAAAAGTTTCTGTGAGAAACCAAGAATGATATACACATTGGAAATACCTCCTATGTACTGAATAGTTGCTCAGTACTCTGAAAAAGATTGAACCGCTATTTCAATGCCCTGCTTGATATGGGGCACTCTAAAAGCTCTGCATAAATCATTGTCCACATTGATCTGTTTATCTATAATGCAGAATAAATGTAATTAATGATTAATGATAAATCAGAGCACTCTACACATACAGTAGTCAAGAAATTCCACTCTCTAGCCAGCAACATTGAGAAAGAGAAAGGGAGGGAAGGAGAGCTAATTTCATGGATTACAATGGCTGTTGATCTGACTTTTGGAAAGGCATTAAACTAGAGAACTCCATCATTGTGCACTTGCTGAAATATTAATCCCTTAGCATTGCAAATTATTGTAAAATAACGTTCCCCAAGCTGGTGTTTTGTGGGAGGGCAAGTGGTACCTTCCCAAATAGTGAAAAACTCAATTTGGTGACTTTGACCCCAAGATCTCATGTAACCTCCAATGGCTTTTTCACACAATGTGATAAGAATGTAATGGTGATTCAAATCACCAGAATCCAGCATTTTGTTACTCACAGTGGCCAGCCAGACATGTCTATGGAGTATTCCCACATACTATAGGAGATGGAGACATATCCCTCTGTTATTGCTATTCCCTTCAATTGATATTGAAAATATTCTGCCGTCAACCCTGAGGTAACATTGTTCGCAAGCCCAACAGACTATAATAGTCCTTTTGTGACTGCTCTAAACGTATGAAATTGATAAGATTCCCCTACTATTAAAGTCTTAATTTTGATTATGAATAATAATTTCTCTTAATAATTTTAATTGATACAATCTATACAATTTATGAAAAAGCAAGTTTTACATTTATATCTGGAACCAGGCTAGGATTTGTCTTCACTTTCTCTGACATCTCTATTCAGTGGTGACAGATTTATTAAGTCATAAACTTTATGCCCTCTATCCTTCCATTCCTTAAATTGGTCAGATATATCCTTCTGTGTAGATAGTGGACAATCAAGGAATCAGAGGAGAGGAGACAGACTGGAAACCAAAGTATGCTTCCATTTTATCCAAGCCTCTAAGGATGGTATTAAATATGGGGCCTATAATGCTTCTTATTAATTCCTTATCTTCTAAGTGAAACAGTATTGCTATGAATAATGGAGAGTCAAGTTGATGATTAATTTTCCATACTGTCCTCAATTATGTATTTATAGGTCCCAGAACTATAAACTAGTGTGGGAAATCAAAAAGGCATTCTGGAAGAAGAAAATAGCAAACCACTTCATTGTTGCTGCCAAGAAAACTACATGACCACGTTCACGGAATGACCTTGACATGAAGGAGTCTACCTTGAAGTGAACCATAAGGGAACAGCTATGTGAGAGCTGTTGTCATTATGATCAGTGTTAAAAACTTTTATTTTCCAGGAAATAAAATCATATAATAACATTATTTGCCTAAAAAATGGCTGGAAAATAAATTTGCTCAAATGTAGCTTCTGCTTTCCTGAAAGTTTTCTTCCCTACATAAGATTTCTGTTTCTGACCACAGACTTAGAATTTCTTCTAGTGGTATTTTTGAGCTTATTTTGGGTTTATAAGATGGTGGGAAATGTTATTGATGATGTTTTCTATTTAAAAAGTCTTTGCTGAGTCAAACATGACTCCTGGTAGTTTCACAAACACATCCATATTGTTTTCTTGTCTTCTTCCAGGGTGACTTTTCAATGAGCTCATACAAGTTCTGCCAACACTTTCAGGAACACCACACAATTTCTTGTCCCATGAAAGAAAAATAAAATCAAAATCAATTTCCCTTTCATCTTATTGAATAAGAATAGTCAAAATGAGATTGATTGATTTTGTGCAGCACTAAATACTAATATAGCATTTTAGTGGCTCCCGCATTGCAATAGTAAATGCTAATCTAACATTCGACCATTGTAATGCAGGAACCATTTTTACATGGTTTGCTAGCTTGCTTTATTTGCTTGTTGTATAGTATTTGCCTGGTCATTTGGAAGTTAGAGCTACATAGATAAGGGCAATTCTGCTGTTCTTTCCTACAAGATCTACAGGCATGAATCTGTGTATGAGGTATTGTGATTGTGTATGAGGATTATGATAAGGTATAACTTTAGAACCAGGGAAACTCTGGATCAAGTCCACCCTCAAGCTTACTGAGTGACTTTAGGCCAGGCACTCTCTCTCTCAGCCTAACCTACTTCACAAGATTGTTGTTGGAGGAAAACTGGGAAGAGGAAGGACTATGTACATCACCTTGAACTCCTGGAGTAAAGGTGAGATGTACATCTAATGAATAAATAACCAATAACATTCCTGTGATTGTCTCCACTCAAATGGCTCTGACTTCCAAATATTATTTCATTGGGATGTATTCATGTAAAAAATTAATGCAATACATGAATGTGATCAGATATAGTGGTTAGCTTAACATGCTTCATTCATTAAAACGTGCACAACTCATTTAATCCCTAGTCACCAATGAAGATCAAGAAGTGAAAGTTAAAAACTACTGTAGTTTGCTCCTGGAATGGGGCCTCATTCATAAAGGATTGAGACAGCTCTGCTTGTCCCTTGAAGCTCCCCATATTTTCCGTGGCTTTCCTATCCTTTCTCTTTCCATTAAAAGTCCATTAAGGAAGAAAAGTCAGAGAATATGCAGGTGCTATTGACTGAAAGAGTTAGGAGTCACCCATATGGAATAAAATAATCATCTTCCCCATCTCAAAAATAGCTTCAGTTTTACTAGCTTTTCTTTGGCTTCCACTGTTGAATGTATGTCAGTTTTGGACAACCAAATATGATGGATGAGGCCATACTTCAAAAGAGTGAATTAGAATTGCATAGGGTTACTGTTCTCAAAGATTCCCAGAGAAAAGCGGATGGAGTCACATATGCAGACAGAAAGCATGAGATCCTTAGCAAGAATATTGATTAAATAAATGTGCCAATCTAAAAGAGAAAGCTAAGCTCTGAAAGCTAGAAGGACTATGAAAAATTCATATGTTAAGTATTCCTGATAGCATCAATGGAATCTAAATAACTGATTATTTTTTCTGTTAGTGATGTCACTTTCTGGTTTAGCTATTCCTGAAAGCTTTCCATACTTTTAAAACAATAGAAATATTTGTATTTCCAGGTTGCTTTGGTCCACTTTGATTTCTCAGAATGTGGCTACATCATGGGACACAACACTATAGCTAGTGTTTATAGTTACTCTTCAAATCAGATTGTTGGAGGACATTTCTAAGGAAAAAATAATTTTGACTTACTGATTTGTCAGAGGTCTCTCCTGCCTTCGTGTTCAGGAGGAGTTCAAGAAGAAATTCATACCTCTCCCCGCTCTTGTTTTTCCCCACAGTAGCCCAGCAACTCCCTGTGAAGCAGGTTAGGCTGAAAATGAGTGATTTTAACCTGGGTTTCCAAGGTCCTAGTCTCACATCTTAACCACTACTCCAGCTCTCCAATTGATATTAAACTGTTCACCTAGTTCACTGAGTGTCTGAGTTGAGCTCAGCTTCCAGTCAATGCATGGATAATTGCATACCATCTCAACCTGACCCTAGCAACAATGTGTAGCTCTTCCAATATATATATATATATATATATCTCCAGTAATTTCTTTCATCCCATCCATCATCCTTATCCATTAACTTCTGTTTCTTTTACTTCCCTCAACCCTGCCAAGCATCATAATTTTTTTCCTAGTCCATTATCCACTCACATCACATGCTCCATAAGGACAGAGTATTTCTAATGGGTGGCATGAAAAAGTTGGAAAAATGGAGAATCCTGGAAACACAGGGAGATTTTGATTGGGTAAAAGCAATAATTCAGGAAATAGGTTAGCAGAGTTTTACTAAGATCATTAACTGTCAACATCTGCTTCACATTACATAAATCCAGACTTTACACAAAGGATGGATAATATCAGAATCAAGAAGATTATAATTGGAAACCAACACAGAAAAGCAGAATCCAGTCAGTTAAGACCTTTCCAGGTGCAGATTGTGGAATAAAACATGCATCACTGGTGCAAATACACAGGTTAAATTTTTAATGGATTAAAGATGGTATCCATGCCCGGAAGATCTGACCTGGAGAACTTACAGTCAGAATAAAAGTTCAACATAAGGAATGGTTTTAGTGTGCTTTATTTTTACAGACGAAAACCAGATGGGCTAACAGATATGACAGATAATTAAAAACTAGAGCAGAAAAAGAATCCAGAATTTCTATGACAAAAATATCCAGAGGTTTTCAGAACAAGCTGAAGGACAGAGGATCAGTCTTGGGCAACAATAAGAACTTATTGTCGCTTGCAACATTAAGAAAGGGAAAAAGATATCTCAATCAAGAATCTCAACAAATAAAGAAATTTAACAAAAAAAAAAAAGAGCTTCTAATGCTATGTTAAAAATCTGCTTTGCATTTTCATTTAAATTGATCCAAAACAAGCAAACAAACAAAAATCAAAAGAAAATACAATTTTAATGAAATTCCTAAGGATGTGGTAGGGACTTCTTGTACTTACTTTAGTTACATGGTGGCCAAATGTGTTGAATGCCTTCTCTTTCCTTGTACAATCATTCATCCAATGATCTCTAATGTCCTGCCTTCTTGCATTTCAATTAAATTCCAAAAAGGGCATTATGAGGGAACTGCTATCATGGCACTTGTTCAGACAGAGAAGTTTGAGCTACTAGGAAAGCTGCAAAGAGACAGAAGGCTTATCCTCATGAGCTGCTTGCCATTGCAAAAGACATATTATTAAATCTCTTTCAGGGCCATGTCCTCAGACTTTGCCACCATTTAATCACCAGCCCACTGCTGAACAGCTTGAAGCTGGATTTAGGTGTAAGAGTGATGTTTGCCCTCTTATCCTGAATCAGAACTTCCTAGGCAACAATCTAGTGGGGATGGCATAGTCAGGGCCTGCAATCTGCCTAGCTCCCATTATCACTAGAAGTCCACTAAGAAGGGGGCTTGCCCCTCCCTTTTCTGTGGTTGTGAATGTCCATTCTCGAATGCCATTTTAGCTTGGGGCTTTGAGGGAGACTGGATACCTGGAATGCACCGGATAAATATGAGTAATTTTTCTTTTTCTTTTCTTTTCGTTTCGTTTTGTTTTGCACAGGATGATTGCTTTCCCAGAATATTGATAGTCCTGTTATATATGTGTCTTCATGTGCGTGCGCGTGCACATGCCCATGAATATACCCACACATGCACCACCAAGTGGCTTTTTTTTTTTTAATAACCATGATTGTGAACTAAGGACACAAGATTCTAGAGTGAAAGCAAAAGAGGAGCCCCAAAACTGGCTTGGCTGCATGTAGAACTTAGCAGACTTTGCTTGCTTTTTGGCTGAGAAACCTCATGGGTTGCAATTATTTGAAAAGGCTCTGGAAATTAACTGACCATAAACCGAAGTGCCACTCTGGGGGGGGGGGGGGGAGAGATGACAGTTCAGTGCATGCAATCTTCTCACAGCCAAAGCAGCAAATCAGACTGCCTTGTAAGGCAAGGCCACAGGGGACATTTCCCACTGTTAATGGGAACCAGTTGGCTGTGGATGCTGGAAGCCCAGTGAGCCTTTGGCCATTTTTGTTTTTTATTATAATGGGGGTGCATGACCACTGTTCCTGCACTGTGGGAGGATTCACTTGCTTGCCTTTAATGAAACCAGTGAAAACCCAAAGAAGCCCCAGGCACTACAAAAGTGGATCTATAGATCTGTCAGTTTTCATTAAGGAGATAGAGAGATCAATGGTCTCATGGCTTAAACTTTTTAAAAAATTAAGGTTGCTTGTCAAGAGGACTGGCTTACCAAATAACCACAATGACAATCTCAGCTGGGGGGGGGGGGGGGGGAGGAGGAGGAGGAGGAGGACAGTTTTGTCTCTCTTCCCCACCTGTTGGAGAAACCATATAGGAATCACAACCAGATGAGCTTATTCTACTTTATTGTAAAGCTACATTGACAGAATGTAATTCTGAAAGTACGATTCTCCTGCTGTCCATCTTTACACCCCAAGAGACTAAAGAGGTCCCTTCTGAGCCTCTTGTTCCTCCCACTATGCAGTTGCAGGCTATGCTGTCTATTATCTGACCATTCCTTTGGCAGCATCTCTTGGCCCAGTCTCCCAAGGTTTTTCCCACATACCATCACATCACCACACCCTTAAAGCTAGTATTAACACCTTAAGTAATCAAAGCCTAAATAAGGAGAGAGTTCCCTCTCTTATTTGCAGAGATTTAGCAGTGACGGATGAGGATTAGAATGTGAGACTAGATTTATCCTTTTTCTTCCACACGTATTTACTTTATCAATAGGTTTAGGCTGATAAACTATTTATAGACTGGCTAATCAAGTAGGGACAGGGGAACAAATGGTCAGTGAGGAAACAAACTTGCTGTCATGCTCATGTTCATTAAGGAGAAGGTGCT